TTCGATACGATACGCGGGAAGCCTTCAGAGATAAGCTAGAAACTGTCTTAACTAAACCGGTAAATCCAAACTGAACCGGTACATTTGGTCATTACAATGCTCACGAGAACATCACGTGTCTTCTTCTTTCCCCCTAATTTCTGGACTTTGTCCTTAAGAAGGAGATGAAGAAGAAGAATGACTAACATGGCCGGAACCGCCACCACCGAGTTCCGGTGGAAATCACCGCAACAGCCTCCACCACCACAGCAACTCATTTCCGATTCAGATTCAGACTCCGGATCCGATTCAGATAATCATCAGCACCGTCACAATGATCTATCAAACTCTATCTTCAAAGCTTACCTCGATTGCCACTCATCTTCGTCTCCCTCCTCTATCGATCTCGCTAAGATCCAATCTTTTCTCGCCTCTTCTTCCTCCGGTGCTGTCTCGTGCCTCATTTGTCTCGAACGCATTAAACGAACCGATCCTACATGGTCCTGCACTTCCTTATGCTTCGCCGTCTTTCACCTTTTCTGCATTCAATCATGGGCTCGTCAGTGCTTAGATCTACAAGCCGCGCGTGCAGTCACGCGACCTTCTTCAAATCCGACAGAACCGGAAGCGGTCTGGAACTGTCCGAAATGTAGATCGTCGTATCAGAAATCGAAGATTCCAAGGCGGTATCTTTGTTATTGCGGCAAGGAAGAGGATCCTCCGGCGGATAATCCATGGATCTTGCCTCATTCTTGCGGCGAGGTCTGCGAGAGGCCGTTGAGCAACAATTGTGGTCACTATTGCTTGCTCTTGTGTCATCCTGGACCTTGTGCTTCTTGCCCCAAGCTAGTGAAGGCTAAATGCTTTTGTGGAGGTGTTGAAGATGTTCGTCGATGTGGACACAAGCAATTCTCTTGCGGAGACGTCTGCGAGAGAGTCCTGGATTGTGATATCCATAACTGTAGAGAGATTTGTCATGATGGCGAGTGTCCACCGTGCAGGGAGCGCGCTGTTTACAAGTGCTGTTGTGGTAAGGTGAAGGAGGAGAAGGATTGCTGTGAGAGAGTCTTTAGATGTGAGGCTTCTTGTGAGAATATGCTTAATTGTGGCAAACATGTATGCGAGAGAGGATGTCACTCGGGAGAATGTGGATTGTGTCCATATCAGGGGAAAAGGAGTTGTCCCTGTGGCAAGAGATTCTACCAAGGCTTGTCTTGTGATGTTGTGGCGCCTTTATGTGGTGGCACCTGTGATAAAGTTCTTGGTTGTGGCTACCATAGATGTCCAGAGAGGTGTCACCGCGGTCCATGCCTTGAGACTTGCAGGATTGTGGTTACTAAGTCCTGCAGATGCGGAGGAACAAAAAAACAGGTGAAAGAGAGCCTTTTTGATACTGAATGATACTTTATAGTCAAATCATATGTTAATGGAAAGATTTTGGGAACTTAATTTAGAGTAGGTTCCTTGCCATCAAGAGTTGGCGTGTGAGAGGAAATGCCAGAGAGTGAGAGATTGTGCACGTCATGCTTGTAGACGCCGGTGTTGTGATGGTGAATGTCCACCATGCTCAGAGGTATGCTGTGTCATTCATTCTTGTGTCAAGTATAGTACCATTGTTCACACTTGGCTTCTAATTTTATTGTTTGAATTTTTCAGATTTGTGGAAAAAAGCTCCGTTGCAGAAACCATAAATGCCAATCTCCTTGTCACCAGTATGTTTTGTAGTAGCTTGCTTTGGACTTTCTTTTTCCGTCTAGTTTTAGATTTGGGACGATATGACTGATAAACATTGTGTATCGCAAGATATCAACTCATACACGTAGAGTGACATTACTTGTTGTGTGTTCATTGCAGAGGTCCATGTGCTCCTTGTCCAATAATGGTAACAATATCATGTGCTTGTGGTGAGACACATTTTGAGGTGAGAATTAGGATTTGAACGTGAATATGGCTAGTTACTATCAAGTCGTGATATATAGTCTTGTTACTTTTATAGTTTTATTGTTATGGTGGATCTACAGAAAATTCTTAATTTTGGTTAGAAGCAATTTTGGTGGAAGCAGGAGATGTTACTGACAACTAACTAGCGAGACTATAAGCTTAAACTTACTAAAATCTCTTCGGGAAAAATGATCTTGAGGCCTTGTTTAGTCTAAGCCTGAGAACCATATCTGATGACTTTATGCCTATTGTTATAGATATTTTCTCTGCTTCTTCTTGTGTCCATAGGCTTTTAAATGTTTGATACTTTAAATATATTTTGTATCATTTGATAGAAAATCTGGTACTGTATGGTAAACCTGTATTAACAACGAGTTGGATGTTTTATGTTATTCAGGTACCCTGTGGCACTGAAACAAATCAGAAACCTCCTCGATGCCGTAAGTTATGTCATGTAACCCCATTGTGCAGGCATGGGCAAAACCAAAAGGTGAACAAGAATTAGAATAAGGCTTTTATAATTTTACTTTTGTGACTGATTCCATCTTTGAATTTCACGAAATTTATGTCATGTTTTTTATGCAGCCTCATAAATGCCACTATGGTGCTTGTCCTCCATGTCGACTCCTTTGTGATGAAGAATACCCATGTGGGCACAAGTGCAAACTAAGGTTTCTCATGCTGGTGCCTTTTTCATCCATTTTTCTTTCCTACTCTATCTGATCATTTCCCTTCTTATACACATTGGTTTTTGTGTGCTTCTTATGACACAGGTGTCATGGACCTAGACCTCCTCCTAACCGTGAATTTATACTTAAACCAACTAAAAAGATGTTGAATATTCAGGCTGAATCTACACCGGGTTCTCCCTGCCCTCGTTGTCCAGAGCTTGTCTGGAGGCCCTGTGTAGGCCACCACCTGGCAGCAGAGAGAATGGTGAGTCTCAATTCTCTTTTATATTAGTTATTTCTGATGCATGTCCAATATCTAACTTGTTAATTCCTATTTGTGGACTTTGAGATCTTCTTCCGACATTTGATATGTTTTTTTCTTTTCATTGGCTTAGATGGTTTGCTCTGACAGAACTCAATTTGCATGCGATAATTTATGTGGAAACCCTCTTCCATGTGGGAACCATTACTGTTCGTTTATCTGTCATGCCCTGGATATAAGAAGTTCATCATTGGATAAAAGAAGTGAGTCCTGTGAAAAGTGTGATCTCCGCTGTCAAAAGGTATCAGTTATCTTTTGTATCTCACCACTTACTCGATCATTTTTCCTTATGCTGTGGGTCTTGATTGCAGTTCGAATTCCAAATTGTCACAATGACTTGAAGCTTATATTTGTATTGTTTCCGATAGCTTCTAATAAACATATTTAACCCCATTAAGCTGTTAAAGGCTCTCTACTGAGTCGGTCAGTTAGTCAGACTTACTTATCTTTCATACTAATGTACAGGAGAGAACACCACGATGCCAACATCCATGTCCTCGAAGATGCCATCCCGGAGATTGTCCACCTTGCAAAACTCTAGTAAAGAGATCATGTCACTGTGGCGCGATGGTGCATGCATTCGAGTGCATATACTACAATACAATGTCGGAGAAGGACCAAATGAAGGTGCGCTCATGCCGTGGACCTTGTCACAGGTAACTAACACTCTGGTACTATTTTATTGTGTTTCATTTTTCAATTTGAACAACTGATGGTTCCCTTGTGGTAACTCACTTGTTCCCAAGCTTTATTTTTATTTTTTACTGAATAACATTATTAGAAAACCAAACTTTTGAAACTAGAGGATATTGCTGTTGCAGAAAATTGCCAAACTGTACCCATTTGTGTCCGGAGATATGTCATCCTGGGCAGTGTCCATTGCCAGAGAAGTGTGGGAAAAAGGTATTATTTCCAAGACTCCATGATGCAACTGCGTTGTAAAGATATCCGTCTGCTAGTTTATATCCATTTCGGATGTTGTCTCTGTTACAAGTGTGATCTTATGTGTCTCGATTTTTTTATTGATCAAGGTGGTTGTTCGTTGCAAGTGCCTAACCTTGAAGAAGGAATGGGTATGCCAAGATGTTCAAGCAGCTCATATGGCCACAGGTTCTGACCCTAAAGAAGTATCAAAGAACCAGTTCGGTGTTGGCCTCCTCCCTTGTGATTCCAACTGTAAGAGCAAACTACAGATGGCTGAATCGGTGTTAAAACAGCGCAATGTCAAAGAGACTGAGGTAAACAGAAACAAAAAAAGCTCTCAGAATTAATCTCACTCTTAAAGCAGCTATCACAAAACTTTTTTCTAATCAAATATCTTAGGAGAAGGAGGAGCCTAGCGGGAAAAATGCATCAAAGCGAAGGAAAAGGCGTGAACGGGGTCAGGACATTCAGGAGACCACAAGGCTGCAGGTAAGTCTTTTAAAAAAAAAATTCCGAGAAGACACATGTCTCATATGTCTTGTCTTCTACTTAAGACACCATCTGGTTTTTTTGGTTTATTCTCTGCAGAAACTTGCTGTCATCACAAAGAGGATAGTGATGGTCGTGATGTTAATGACAATGCTAGCTGCTGTTTCATACTATGGTTATAAGGGACTCTTGTGGCTTTCTGATTGGATGAATGAAGTCGAAGAACAAAGACAAAAGTCTAGAAGATACCCGCGAATATAACTGGTTTTGAGAGTTTTTCCTTCTCAAGCTTTTTTAGCCTGATACTGGGCAGTGACAACACAGTTAGCTTCGAGACATTTGGTCTTTCTTTTTGGTTTAGTCGATGATAGTCACCATATATATTTCATAGGGGAGATTAGAAAGATTATCAGTTTGTTTGTTTAATTGATTTGTGTTCTTGCTTTTAGCTTCCTTGATATTTCGAGACAGCAAAACAGCTTGGAAAAACTGTTGTACTTGTTCTTTCTTTTTCATGATATACATCTGTACAAAACTATCCATTTAGAATTTGTTTCTGTTTTAGAATATGTGATCTAGGGCCTCAAAAAGGATCTAAAAATGAGGAAATTGTGACAACCACCAAAGACCATGGAATAGGATAACAATCCTACATAAGTTTGACACCCTCTCCATTGTGTAAGAACATTAACATTAATCTGGTTAAAGAAATGAGTTTTAGAACTGAAAATAAAGAAGGTCTAAAACTTAAAAACAGATGAAACGAAACAAAAGAAAGAAGCTAAAGGGAGAAAAATCATTAAATCAAACTCCATCTAAGGAGTCAACAGCAGCAACCTGAGACCTCATTGAACTTGAAGCATCAACTATTGACTTGGTCTTTTTCAATAGCTCCTGCCACTTTGCATCATCTTTTACAATCTTGACCCGATCTTCAACGATCGTAAAGCTGCTTCTTGTAACACTTGCCTTCCACTCAAAGTTGAAACCCTTGCAGCAACTTTCAACATCTTATCAAGACTATCAGAAGACAACAACCCAAAAGCCAAAAGGTAAACGATCCTATCTTCATCAGGAATCAATCCAAATTTCCGAGCAGCCTCGGTATATCTTTTCTGATTCTTGTACAATGCATGAAAAGCAGAGTGACAAATGCAAATGAGGTCTATGATTTCTATATCATCACTTTCTCTTGGAATCAGACCAGCAAATCCAGAGTGAAGCATAGCAATAGGAAGCTTGTGAGTTTGAGCAGGAAACTAATGGCATTAATGAAAGAAGCAAACTTTTTGACAAAAGCCAAATGAGGGAAAAGAGCTATCATTCTTGAGAAAGTCAAAGTTTTGTTAGTTAGAACAAGCTTTTTTTGACACTTGTCTCTGATTTCAATCCCTAGAGTTGCAGCAACTCTTTTGATAGTTGCTTTACCAGTATCACTAGTTCTCTCCAATTTATCTTTCCTTATGTTACCTCTCAGCAAGGCAACTGCAATAGCTCTGAAGAATATATTGGTGACTTCAGCTTTGGGTAAGGTTTTCATTCTCTCAAACAATTCAGTCAACAAATCATGTGGTGAAAACCCACTAGACTGGTGTTGAGTCAATGTTGGTGCGATGGCATCAGAAAGCGAAGCTGCAACTTCTTTGAAATCAAAGCTGCTAAGAGCTTCTTCCATTTTCTTCTTTCGAGCTTCGAGGTATTCATCAAAAGTAACTCTTAAGTCAATGAATGCTTTCAAATCATGCATCACTACACAGAAAGATGTACTAGGGGAAAAGAATGTACCTGTAATATGGACTAAACACCTTTTAACAGCAGCTGATCAAGCTCAGTTTTTAGCTCCGTCAACTCAACCTAATTTTCATTTCTGCATTGCAGCAACTGCCTCCTAGCTCGTTAAGTTTCTGATTTTTTTTTTCTTGAGATGGTATTTTCTGCCAAAGATTGACATTCATATTATCATTAGATCATACTTTGAAGCATATACTTTGGCAATCCAATGGTTTAGGAGTGTTGAATTTCAGATAACTCAACATCACAAACTAACAAGTGTAGAAAAGGATCCAAATCACAGTAATCTTTGAACATTCTATTTGCAAGAAGTGTAGGAAAGTATTAAACTTTCACATTCCAAAAACTCTGAATCAAGCCAAGAAAATTCCTGAAGATTTCTACTTCCATGGTTCCAAATTTTAAAAAATCCACATCCAGAACTATAAATTCGATAAGAAAAAAAAGACGATAAGCAATAATTAAGGTTTATACAGATTTTAACACTCACCAGTCGAAATCTGAAAGCATGAATCTATAGTTGTGAGCAGTGCCGGTCCGGCATATATGAGTGCCCTACGCAATTCCTAAATAACATGCCTTGTTCATATCACACTTCTAGTGATGACATATTTCTAGGAATTGAAACAAGTAAAAGAAAAAAAAAATTAAACACTTAACCAGCAAAAGTTATAAACTAAAACTGTGAAACAATTATCAAAAGAAAACAGAGAAGTCAAAAAGAAAATTAAAAAACTAAAGAAAACTAAGAAAAATATTATAAAAAATTTTAACAACTGTATGGTCGTTTTTTTTTTCTTTTCTCTAGAGTTTATGATTTTTTTTACTTAAGCCTTTAGTTGTTTTACTTGTATATGAAAAAGCCCACAATATTTATCTAAAAAGACCCTACACAAAAATTCATAGTATAAACATATATGAAAAAACTTAAAAAATTTTTATCTGAAAAGGCCCTCAAAATTTGAGGCCCGAATCAGTGGCTTCACTTGCCTGTCCTATGGGCCGGGCCTGGTTGTGAGCTCTTCGTGTTTTTGCCTCAAAATGAGAGAAGAAGAAGAAAAATAACATAAAAGAGGAGCTAGCAACATGTATACTATTTCACTTTTTTTAGAGTTTCTAAGCCAATCAGAAGGCTCTATTTCAGACCCACTCGCACAAAGTGCGCGTTGCGCGAGTGAGAGCAATTCCTGAAGGGGGTTTACCTTTCGAAATCATGCCTATTTCTATCGACGCACTTCTCTCCAAATTTTCCATCGCGTGACTCTTTGTAATTCTAATAATGTAAACCGAACCGAAATCAATTGTAATTTAAAACCATATTAACCGAACCGAAATCAATTGTAATTTCTTGTAGATTAACCGGTGTCGTTGGCAAGCTACGTAGTCGTATTAGAGTGGGCCGTGAGAATGTGAGTGACTCGGCGAGATTGAAGATTATACGACGGCGACTATCTATAACGACAGAATCGTCCCAATTTTGAAAACCCTAAAACTCAATCTTTCGACTCTCTGCTAAGATAGAAACTCAATCTTGCTTTCTCTGTAATTCGTAGCTTCCTAAGGTTTTCTCAAGAATCTCATAACCATGGCGAATCCCGCACCGAATCTGGAATGTCGTATGTACGAATCCAAATACCCTGATGTAGACATGGCGGTGATGATCCAGGTGAAGAACATCGCTGACATGGGAGCTTACGTCTCTCTACTTGAGTACAACGACATTGAAGGAATGATCCTATTCTCTGAGCTCTCTCGCCGTCGGATTCGTAGTATCAGTAGCTTAATCAAGGTCGGTCGGATCGAGCCTGTAATGGTCCTTCGTGTCGATAGAGAGAGAGGTTACATTGATCTTAGTAAGCGTAGGGTTAGTGATGAGGACAAAGGGGCTTGTGAGGAGAGGTTTAATAAGAGCAAGCTTGTTCACTCTATCATGCGTCATGTTGCTGAGACTGTTGGTGTCGATTTGGAGGTACTGTATATTAATAGGATTCTGTGACTCTTCTCTCAATTCCTGCATTGCCTTCAATGTTCTAGCTTTATCTGTGTCATGTTGTTTTCTTCTTGAACTGAAACAAGGTCCAATTTTGAGGAATAACCTTCTTTTTTGTAGGAGCTATACGTACACATCGGTTCAATGAATCAAGCCAAGAAAATTCCTGAAGATTTCTACTTCCATGGTTCCAAATTTTAAAAAATCCACATCCAGAACTATAGATTAGATAAGAACAAATACGGAAGATGTATTAAGGTGTATACAGATTTTAACACTCACCAGTCCGAAATCTGAAATCTGAAAGCATGAATCTAGTTGTGTTTTTGCCTCAAAATGAGAGAAGAAGAAGAAAAATAACATAAAAGAGGAGCTAGCAACATGTATACTATTTCACTTTTTTTAGAGTTTCTAAGCCAATCAGAAGGCTCTATTTCAGTCCCACTCGCACAAAGTGCGCGTTGCGCGAGTGAGAGCAATTCTGTGGGTGTACCCCTTTAGGAATCATGCCTTTTTCAATCAACGCACTTCTTTCCAAAATCTCCATCGCGTGAATGTTTTTTGTTTTCTTCTCAAAACCAATTTAAACCGAACCGAATTCAATTATAATTTCAAAACCATGTAAACCGAACCGAAATCAACATATTTTCTCTTACGGAATCAGCAAATTCTGGACAGAAAATTTCAAAAAGAGGAAACACCACAACTCAAAACCACAAACTATGAACTGATAGAAAAAATATCCAAAATCACAGTAATCTTTGAACATTACAAGAACTGTAGGAAAATCTCAGAATCAAGCCAAGAAAAAGATTCCTGGAGATTTCTGACTTCCACGGAAGACTAGGGATAGTCTAGTGAAGTCATCAACACATTCTTGCAGCAACTCTTTTAATAGTTGCTTTACCAATATCACTAGTTCTCTCCAATTAATCTTTCCTTATGTTACCTCTCAGCAATGCAATGCCAATAGCTCTAAGAATGTGTTGATGACTTCACTAGACTATCCCTAGTTGTCAATGAATCAACTACAAGTGTTGCGTAAGATGCAATATATAATTAAGCACATGCGGTGTAAATTTGTGTATAATGCAAAAGCAAAGAAATCCAATAAGCTGAAAAGAAATGTCTTCATCTAATAGTGTTAAATAAGCTTTATGCTTTGATCAAAAATCCAGATCTTCTTCTTCTAAAGCAATGATTATTACTTGTAAGATCAAAGGTAAAAAAAAAAACCATAAGCATCACCATCTTCGGTCTTACTCCATCAGGTTTGGTAGGTGAGAGCTGGTTGAGAACTTGAGCCATCCCTTTTTTTCCACTTGCTTAAGACAAGGTTGCAACACTAGCCCAATCACTATTGCTGCAAGGCTCACCAGCGCAACTTTCAGGTTAGTAAGCGCCATGATGACACCGATCAACACTGTTGGTGGAATGCACATGAGGATCGATCCCAAAACCCCTACAGGTATCTTGAACGGCCGTGTTGCAGCCGGATACTTCATCCTTAACCTCACAAAGGTAATAAACTCCAAAACCATTCCAAAACAGTATAACAAATTCTCTGCAGCCACAATCTCTTGAAAGCTTAACCATGACAAGAGAATCACACCAGAGGCCGAGAACAGTATCCCCACCCATGGAGTTCCGTAGCGCGATCTCTTGGCAAAGACCTTGGGAAGCATCCCCCGCTCAGCCATTCCAAGAAGCTGAAAAGAATCACTGCTCATTTCAGCCAAAAACATTCCCATGTTCGATGTCGCAGCTGCAGCTTGAATCCACCATCCCAACCATGCTCCTCCTATAATTTTACCGATATCAGCGAAATACCCGTCAGTCCATAGCTTCTGATCAAGAGCTATAGCTCCTGTCCCGGTCAAAACCGGAAAAATGTAAGATAGCACAACAAGAACCAGAGCATAAAACAGAGCCCTTGGTAACGTTTTACTCGGGTTTTCCACTTCGCCCGAAAGCGTACTAATCGAATCCCAATAGTTGAGATTCCAGAAAAGTGTGTTGAGATACAAGCTCCAGTCAACACCTTTCATCTTCTTGCTAACCACAAGCCATCTCGAAGGCTTAAGCTTTGGAATCGACATGAAAGACATCACCAGAAACGGAAGGATCGAGAAAACGCCGAGAAGAACAGCTGCTACACCGACAATGCTTAAACCCCTGTAGTTCAAGTAAGTCAAGGCTACAGTCAACACCAAAATTGCAGCGACTCGAGGGATTCCACTACCGAGAATCGGGATTCCGGATTTGAGATAGTCGAGGAAAAGAATCGGATAAAGAGCGTTGTCTATAACGCCGCTTAGCCATTTAACCCAACCTTGTTGAAACCCCCAATAAGGTCCCAAGGCTGAAGAGACCCACACAACGTAACCACCGTTCTCAGGGAACATTGTTCCCATCTCAGCGGTGATGAGTGCTTCAGGGATACTCCATATGAACGGGAAGACGATGAATCCAACAATGGCTAACAATGGTCCTGCTGCTTTCACACTATCCTCAATCCCAAACGGACCGCCTGAGACCTCGTAGAATATCAGGAAAACTAGTGGCAGTACAGTAATTTTCTTGAATTGGTTGACGGTTCTCGCCGGAGACAGAGCAGCGTCACCGGTGGTGGGGACATCTATGTTTATGTGAGGAGGTGGGTTTTCGGTGGAGATTCTTAGCTTCTGTGTGGCGGAGTCAAGATTGGAAGAGCTAAGCTCAGTCATCAAGAATTGAAACTTAAAATAATTGAGAAAGTGCTAGGGAATTTGCTTCGACGTACGCGGAACAGAGCTAGCAGAGACCAGAAACATGGAATAGTTGGAAACTTTGAGCTCCTAGAAATCGAACAGAACCCAGAAGAAACAATCGCAGTTGTTGTTGTCGTTCCAAGTTTAACAAGATTATTTTATATTCCAATAGAGAGAAAGAAAAAGGAAACAAGGCTTCTTTATTGACAAAGACATGTTCTCCTAACTCATGTAGGATAATAATAAATTCATAACAGATGTTAGATAACGATAAAACCTTCTTTTTTTTTATTAATTTTTAATAAACAACTCTATTAATAAATCCACCAATGAATAAAATCTTGTATTGCCGACCCAAGAAAATCTTTTACAGTATATTTTAGCACTCACCTAATAAACAAGTCGTATATTCTAGATACCTAAGCATGCATCTCAAGGTTTAAAACGAGGTTGTTTTTGTTGCTGCTATATCACACTAATAGAACAACCTGTTTTCTAGCAGCTACAATGACTTTAAGCAGGGGTCCCCGGAACTTTAGTTGGTGTAAATTCAATATGCATAGGATTCAAAGAATATACTGTATGTTGATACAATTCAAGAATCCTAGAATACCTGATCCTGAAGAGATGCAACTTTTATGTGCTCTTAATCTTACAAAGTACCCAAAAGCACACACATTCATCTCATAGATTGAAACTCATCCACATCATAATATTATTCGAGGTTTACAATGCCAACTCTCTTTATCGTTACTACTACTGATCCTACCAAAGAAAACCTATCATGACCTGAAAAATCTCAGTTAAAAAGCGAAACATCATATGACTTACTCTTGACTTTTTGTTTTGTTGATCAGAACGCTAACTTAGGATCCACAACTCCTGAAGCATTGCCTTCACCAGTCATAAGCTGTCCAGGGTCCTGAGAAAGACAGATATTCAATAATCATTAAGAGTTCCTCCAAAAGTGTTATTATAGATGGCAAAAGCTTAAGCCTATATACCTCCATTCCCCATTTGATGTAATCTGGAGACTCACAGGCCTTATATTCGTCTACCAAACTCTCAATTATGTCCCTTGATTCATCAAACTCTGAAAGATCATTGTCCTGTCCATGTCAACATGTAGATTCTCATGATTTCAACATTAACTGTCAATGCTAATGAAAGGGTGGGTTGCACTAAACATCAGCCGAACAAAGGCAAATATATTTGAGTAGTCAACTTACAGCAAACATGGGAAACTTTCGGTAATTGTCAAGAAAAGCTTGCTTCTTCCTCAACTTGTCATATTGGCTCAAACATCTGCTGAAAAGATGCCTGATACTAGTGTGGCTTGCTAACATAAGACCACTGACCTGAAATATCAATACACCACCAAAGTTAAGAGTCTTCGTTGTATCTTCTAAAGCATGAACCAGCAGCCTTAGACATTAATTGTAAGGAGTACCAAATCTCAGCATGACAGACATATGTATACATATTTAGAGTGATATAAGATTACCCTATGAGCAGTTTGAACATATGGGGACTTCTTGGAAAGAGCAACCTGTTGAGAGTAAGATATGGAAAAAATTTGTGATGCAAGTCCGAGGTCAAGCCAAGAGCAATAACTAATTTGCAGACACAATTCGGTTAGAACCTGTATGCTTGCAGGTCCCCAGTCAATGAAATTAACAAGCTTTCTTTCTCGTATCCTCTGCAAACTCTCATGCACCTAATATCAAGTAGTGAGACAACAGAGCAGATCACATCAGTAAGAAAGAATTAACCTATTCATCCTCAATATGTCGAACAAAAAACTGCTACATGAGAGTACCTGAGTAGGATCGACTTCTCCTTGAATTATATTCAATATTGATATGTACTTTGCCTGACTAGCTTCTTTGTTTCTAGCATAAGACGAAACCATGATATTCTTTGTCTGCGAATACAATTATGTTAGAAGAACATCTGATTCAAGTTTCGAAAAAAGATAGGAGAGAGCAAACAGCTCACCTGTAGAAGCCTCCTCATAACATCCAGCACAGTAGTTTTACGAATGACATTTGCCTGCCAAGAACAATTTACATAAGAGAGTGCCAAACATAACATTCAGAAGTCATGTTCAAGATACAACAGCAGCTTCCCATAAATATATTGTGATTTGATGGTATAAGTTATTAAACTGATTGAGATATCTAACCTGGCGCTCAACAGTCAATGGTGTATATCCAGTCATGAGGAAGTGACACCTGGGTGTTGGGATCAAAGATGCAAGCAAGCCAACCAAGTCATTATTCATGTATCCTGGATAACGCAATGTTGTTGTGCTAGCAGACATCACAGTTGACACCAAAGAATTCGTCTGAGCAAAAGTAGGATTTGTCAGATGTAGACGCTCCACAGCAATTCTATTCAACGCAGTGTTGTCCAGAACAACAACACAATCAGCATTTAACGTAAGCCGCTTCAACGTCAACAGTGAGTTGTAGGGCTGAACAACAACGTCACTCGTTTCCATCTGATTGGGAAATACACTGTATGTCTGAACCAACTTCTTGCTATAGCGATCATTCAAAGTCTCCAGTAAATAAGACCCCATACCTTCATGTGAAACAACAAAAACAAAAGTCATTCAGTGAATAAACATAAGCTAAAGGGATTGGCAAAAAAGATTGAAAACCTGAGCCAGTGCCTCCAGCAATAGAGTGGCAAAGAACAAAACCCTCAAGGCTATCACTTCCATCAGCTTCTCGATCAATCATGTCCATGATTTCCTCTTCAACACCTTTCCCCTGGTGATATCCACTGGCCCAGTTATTACCAGCACCACCGCCATGGTCGGAAAGGAAGATATTCTCATGATTATAAAGATTCCGGTATTCACCATTCTGAATGCCATTGATAACTCTAGGCTCCAAATCAATAAGTAGAGCTCGTGGTATATAGTGTTGGTCATCAGCTTGGTAAAAAAACACATCTTTTCTATCACCTCCCTACAGATAGATCATCAATCAATCCACAATTCTATGAACACTAACAATGGAAACGATTTCGAAGAAGAAGAAAGACCTGAGTAGCGAAGTCCTCGAGAATACCATCTTTGCTGATGCCGTGCTCGAGGCAAAGCTGTTTCCAGAACTCCATACCGATCTGGTTCCCACATTGTCCCACCTGCAGCGTAATTATCTCCCTCGGCATCTTCTTCCTCTGTAAAACCCTATACCTAAGTGTTTCGAGACTACTGCTCAAGCGGATGATCAAACTATACTCATTAAAGCCACACTCTCAGCTTCTTTCTTTACTCATTTACAGAGAGAAAACGTTAAACTCGTCGTTTTAGCAGAATTCTATTCGACGTCGTTTTTACTGTAAAACTTACAGACTACGATGGGCCGGGCCAGTCCAGGCCCATTTAAAACAATAGTTACTTTACAAAGACTTCAACTCTTGTTGTCTATCTCTACCTCTCTTGTCCGTGCGCATCGGATTTTGGAAACCATTGATGCAGACCTCAATCCATCTCTAACACCACTGATCTATCTACTTAGGTCTTCTCTAACGATACTCGTAACTTTTTTACTTTGCTTCTTCCCTTACTTCATCGATGGCCGCTGAGTCTTCTAACCCTCGCACTGTCGAAGAGATCTTCAAGGATTTTAGCGGTCGTCGCTCCGGTTTTCTTCGAGCTCTCTCCGTAGGTAGACTACGACGACGCTACCTCCTCATTTTCTCCTATTTTCTCATAAATGTTTTGGCTTTCTAATTTTACGTTTTGTTGTTCTTGCCTGTCTTTTACTAGATGTTGACAAGTTCTACTCTTTATGCGATCCGGGTATGTGAGCTCTTTCCATCGTTATTTTTCGGATCTGTGTTTGTTTTTCTCCATGGATAAGCTTCAGAAAAATAAACCCTTTTTGGTTTATCGGGTCTTAGAAATGGAGAATCTGTGTTTGTACGGACACCCTAATGGGACATGGGAAGTGAATCTTCCAGCTGAGGAAGTGCCTCCGGAGCTACCTGAGCCAGCTCTTGGAATCAATTTCGCAAGAGATGGTATGCAGCGTAAAGATTGGCTCTCTTTAGTTGCTGTCCACAGTGATTGTTGGTTACTCTCTGTTTCTTCTTACTTCGGCGCTCGTCTTAATCGCAATGAGAGGTACGTTTCCCTTTTGTTTCCTTGCTTGTTTCAGTGACTTTTATAAAATGTGGAAGATAGTTTTACTGTGCTAGTTACAATGTATCGTGGTGTTAATGATGAGAAAAAAAGCTCTCTTTGGACAGTATCATGATTCATGAGCTTGTGTCATCACCATTTGTTTTTGTTTCCTGATTCTTTCTTTCACTGTAGCTCTACTTGTCAATAAGCTTCTTTCCTTCTTAGGTTAAATTTCTTTCAATGCATACCATTTTTCACTGATCCCTTCTGTCTCCTGAACTTGTGTATCATTTGGATATATACTACATCCTATTGTTAATTTTGGTCCCTTATTTTCAATACATGTTTGTTTTCTCTGAGTAGATATCTTGGAATTCACTATCTGACTTATCCTAGAAGCATTGTTTGCTTTACGATTCTCTAAGAGCATGTCTTTGTATGTGAATCTTACATTGTTTACTTATCCGAAAAGCATCTTACTTAGCCTCCATTCCAATGTGAATCAATAATTGTAAATGACGATCTCCAAGACACTACTACAAATGTCTACTATCTTAAAGTTCTGTTTGTTTGTATGTATACTATTTATTTATGGTTTTTCTAAAGTTGAGGGTTCCTTGGAGAAATTCTCTTCTCGAGTCTAATTAAATTTTGGTTACTCCAATCTCCTTGTGTGTTCTGAGTTTCTGTTTATGCTGGTAACCAAGCACGTAAGTTGACATCTACGGGTATATGAACTTATTTGATACTGTTCTGAGTTTCATGCTGCTGTGTCTAGCAACTTATATTGTAGTTCCGTTCAATGAGCAGGAAACGCCTATTTAGTCTGATCAACGATCTCCCAACTCTCTTCGAAGTAGTGACGGGTAGGAAGCCCATCAAAGATAATAAACCAAGCATGGATCTCGGAAGCAAATCCAGAAACGGCGTTAAGGTATCATGATGAACTCTCTACTACTCTTTACCATCCCAAAACAAACTTCTTTCATGTTAATGAATTATTGTGTTTTGGTTGGTATTGAATTGTTGCAGAGATCAATTGAAGGGCAGACAAAGAGCACGCCGAAGCTAATGGAAGAGAGCTACGAAGATGAAGACGATGAGCACGGAGACACACTGTGTGGAAGTTGTGGAGGAAACTACACAAACGACGAGTTCTGGATATGTTGTGATGTGTGTGAACGTTGGTACCATGGGAAGTGTGTGAAGATAACACCAGCCAAAGCAGAGAGCATCAAGCAATACAAATGCCCTTCTTGCTGTACTAAGAAAGGAAGACAGTGAGTGAATGAGTGAGTCATCTTTCTCCTTTTCCATCCTTTTTCCTTTTTAAGTTGTTGCAAAACATCCTTTTGTTAATTTATGAATACAAAACTATTATTGGTGTTAGATTCTCAAAATAAGGGCGTTTTGGATTAGTATTGAGACATGGAGAGAGTCAT